ATTATTAACATGTACTAAAGAGAGGTTCCTGCTAGTGTAGTATTTGTTGTGTTTATAGTATTATTATGTAATTTTGCCTAAATAATATTCTCTGAAAAGACAAGTGCAATGGTTGGAACACAGACCCTTAAAAATTTTAAAATGGCAGTTGAGCTGCTTACTAGTATTTCACCTCAGGCAAGTCACTGAACATCTTTGTCCTAGACTCTCAATATGTGTAAGTGGTATCAAAAATAGTAGCTACCATGTAGGGTTGCTTTTAGAGTTTTATTGGCTATGATATGAATATGCCTAGCATATACAAAACAGCAAATTAACGTTCATCATTATTTTCATTCCATTAGAGTGGAGTCAGCTTTAAGTCAAGTACTACATGCTACATGTTGAAAGTACTAGTAATGTATAGTAACGTATCACAAACTATTCACCATAGGTTACAATAGTAACTCACAATTCTACATTACAATATACATAGAAAGCAATAAGTTGCAGTATATTGTGAATGCTACAATTTTTATGTTTGAGACTCTGCTTTTTTTTTTTTCCTAAGGAAATCTCTTTACCTCATAAAGAAAACTGTAAGGAACCAAATTAAGACCTAAATAATAATTAAAGGGTTTTCAGAATTAATGAATCCACAATAATTTCATTTTCCCATAAAGAGGGCATGAGAAATATATTGTTCTTTGTAGAACATCTATTAAATATAGTACCTGAGTCAAAGACTTTCTACTGTATTATCAAGGGCAAGAATATGAGAAGAAATCTATATAAGTCAGAAATACGGAAATTAAAGATTTTTAAAGAGCAATTTTGTTAAAATTTTATGAATCTTTTAAAATTTTGTAAGAGTAGCAGGTCTAAATGGAAAATAAAAGGTCAACTTATTGACTCGGTAGTCATGTAGATGGTGACTTCAGAATGGTATCAATCAAACCTCTTTCAGACAATTGAATGGATTGAATCCCAGGTGACTGATCAGTGGGATAACATTCTCTAGGACTATTACCAGTAGTACCCAAATCAAGAGTAATTTAGTTATCTGCCTATTTGTTCTCATCTTCTTGAATCACTGCATGTAGAAAATAGTTAATCCAGACACAAATGTTGTGTTATAAGGCATCTGAACCGAAAGGCCTATAAGAGAATCTGTAGTCGGTCTGTGAAACCCAGCAACAGCAATGGTGGCAGCAGCTGCAGCAGCAGGACATGTTGGTGGGACACTTGAGATGCTCCAGACTGGAGATCATTAGAATAGCAGAGCTCACAGGAGTAGAGGAGGGACTAGTGAAGCTGAAATTTCATGATTACCACAGAGAATTTATCTTTAGTTCTATAAAGGTTCGTCATCACGGCTATGCGATACATGGGTCTGTTGATGGCTTTATAATTATGTTCTTGAGATGTATTCCCATGTTATTCACCTTTAAATAATGTTTATGACATAATTTTTGTACACAATGCTCAATGGGAACAGCTGAGGGCATAACTCACTCCATTCTACAAGTGACAACGAAAATCACTTAACCTTTTATGTAGCCCATGTCTCTTCCTGGTTATATCAGTAACTTCTGCTGAAGTAAGTCAGTGATAGACAGAAAGGAATATTAGCAATTTGTTGATGCTATGCTTGTCCTGGAGTATGGGTCTCAAAGCCTGGGAGGTAAAGCCTGTGCATTTAGTCTGGGGAGGATGTTAAGGCATGGCAACAAATAAGCCAACTAGCTTAACATAACACATTTGGTTGCTTCTCATAGAAAGCCTGTTGTGTGTCTGATTAACTTTCCAGGACAACTATCTCCACTGTGGTGATTAGGTAATCCAACATGCTTCAATCATTTCATTATTAAGCCTTCCTTCCTTGCTATAGAAAGGATTTAAGAAAGAAGAAATTTCTTAGGAGCATCTATTCCACTGCTTTCGTCCAGATATAACACATATCACTTCTGAGCTAGAATTAGTCAAATTGTTTCACATACTGCCAGAGGCTGGAAAGAAATGTCTTCTGTGTGCCCAGGAAGGAAAGAAAGAAGGGATATTCCTCAGGGTGTTGGTGACTACTGTCTTCCAAAGTATACATGATAATTTTAAGTAACACAAAGATCAACATTCACAATTTTTGTTTGGTTTTGTATGCATTTGAAAGATATTAGTGACACATCAATCCTATGAGGTAATGGTCTTATTTTATATAAATTTAAGTTGAATTTTAATTGTACTATGCTATTATAATAAAAATGGTAAATGTGGCAAATCTAATGCTTTGATGTCCAGGACTAAATTTTAGTCCTCTCAAAAAACTCAAATTTTAGTATGTAAAACTTCAGTCAAATAGAAAACATGGGGTGGGTTATAGGAATCTGTTCTTTGAACAAGTACCCCCACACGATTCAGCAACAGGTAGTCTAGGACCAGCAACACCTATGAGTGGAAAGATTGTTCAAGAGGCTGGTTTTCTTCTGCTGTCAAAATTGGGTACCCAGGGACAGAACGCCCTGTGGAGGAGCCTGGAACTTCTGATTAGTACTGGTCTCTTTCCTTTTTTTTTCACTACCAGATTGAAATTGTTTTTCTTACATTGGTGGAAGACTAGCAACAATGGAAGGTTTTGGATTGAGACGCAACCTGGCAAATAGCAACTTCATTATTGTCATCTCTCTTCTCCACTGGTTTTCTATGATGTCTGGTAGTTTTCAATAGGTAGTTTGCCTCCTCACAAATCAAATACAGAATCTCCAGATATTATGGCTAATTCCAATATTCTTCAGTCTACTAAAACACTTCACTCACTACTGTCCATGGCAAGTAAGTTTTTAAAGCTTCCACATCCATGTTTTCCAAAGGTAAATAGAACTCTCTCCTACATAGTGTGACTTTGATGTCCTGATTTTTCTTGACTTGTATGTGCTGAATAATAAAGGCTTTTCTTATTTGGATGATAAGTTTTGACATTGATTGCATTCATTCCCCCCACAGACTTTTAATGGTGTGACTTTGTGTCTTAAACATTTAATGTTGAATATTGCCTTAATTCCACAATTCATTTAGGACAGGCACTGTACATTATTAAGTGGAATTTCAGTCATACAGGGTATTATTTATAATAAAAATTATAGGCACCACATTTACTTTCCTCAGAATCCTGCCATTAGATAATGCATATGAAAGTTGCTGCCTATTTTCTAGATTTTTTTCAATTCTGGAAGAAAATTGAAGAGGCTTTCGAAGGTATAGTATATCACAATTAGGTCTGTAGCTCATCAGCCTGCTTTTAAAATATGCAAGCACTCACAGAGACCACCCCCGGTTAAAAGTCTTTAACTACTTCATGTTGCTTTAGTGTTAAATAATGTATAGGGTTTGTTATCTTTTGTAGACCCTGGAAATCTAATTATTTATAATATCCAGTGACATTTACATTTTGCTAAATATATTCTGCTTGCATAAGAATGTATCATACTTAGAAAAATGGATGAAGAATGCCTGGCTTTACTTTTTGCTTATACATAATGCAAAGTACTGGGGTGACCTGAATTATCTTTTTGCTATAATCACATAATTCTAAACATAATTCTAAATCTGTCTTTTGCCATTGACACTTAAAATACAGAATGAGAAAAAGTTTTCATAGTTGATACCGTTTGTTTACCATTCAGCTCTCAACTATTGGGTCAAATATCTATTCCAGTTTATTGGTATCTTAAAATAATACCATTCATTTCCATGTCAACAGCTCCAGAGTGTTTGGTTTAGTTCTTGAGATTGATTGGAAGTAGACTGTAAAGTTGATCTATTGTGTTCGCTTATTTACACAACATAGTGTCTTGAAAATAAACTCTCGAAGTGCAGAGCGGTTGAATCCCAAAGTATTTCATGTTCTGAGACTTTTAATGCCTGCTTTAAGGCCCATTCCTAACTTCATCATGGTGAGTCACCTTATCTAGACCATGACTTCAAAATTTAACTTTTATTGAAGTTCAAGTGAAATTTATGCCTTGCTCTAGGAAACAGGATGTGCTTTTAACTAATTTGAAAGATGTGCCTAGGCAAATAATTTCATTCTAGTACATCTATGAAACAATCACACATGACTTTTTTTTTTTAGGCTCTTAGAGCACTTTCTTTACAAGAGTTAAAAAGTAACATTTTTAAGATGGAAGCAATACAAAAAGCTTTCATTGTGAAAAAAATATGGTAACTGGAAAAATTAATTTGCATACAGGGATGGTGACAGATTATTTAAAAAAAAATGAAGTTGTATTTATTCAAGGATTAATCTTGGTGAGTGAGCTTTTAAATGCCCTTCTTCACGCCACATCCCTGTCTTACATACACTTAAACAGTCGCACTGTTATCTAGGGTTTCTCCCCCATCCCCGACCGGTTCTGACTGGGTGGGGATGCGCGCGGCACGTGCACCAGAAATACTTCCTAGAAACAGCGAGTGCTGCTCAACCCGGCCTGAACTTTCCTGCTATAAACACTGCGCTCTGACAGCAGCATCCCTCCCTGCTGGGCGGATCCTGCCACTCCTGGAGGGAATGGCACTTCTTGTTTTTAATTAGCGAGGGGAAAGGTGAATCGGCACTGGCTGTTCGGCAAGTCGCTGCACGAGGCTGACTCCGCAGAGGCTGAAGCGGCGCTGGGGGAGGCGGCGCGTGCGCTCCGCTTGTTTTCTGAATGAAACGCTCGGGAGCCGAGCAGAGCGCAGCCTCCTCCCCGCTCCGCCGCGGAGTCCCGCACACAGCGCCCGGCGGGACGCGCGCTTCGGCTCCCTGCCTGGGATGTCCTAGGCTGCCCGCTCGGCGACGCACAACTGTCCCGAGGAGAGAAAGGTTTCGCCTAGCCGAGTACTGCCTGGCAAATGGCACTTTGCAGTGGTGCTGTCTGATGACAACGCGCTCGATTCCTGACAAAGCCTGTCTCCTGCACGCTGCCCCTGGAGGGAAGTCCTAAGTCAAACTCAAACCCGCCCTAGTGAGGTGCTGGAGTAGGGACAGCATGGCATCCGCTGGACGCGCTCTCACCTTGCTCCTGTGCGCTCGTCTGCTGGAGCTCTGGACAAGAGGGCACGCGGCCGAAACCCCTTACCCCAGGTTACGACTGTCACATAAAGGTAGGTTACCTTCTCGGATCCTTTTGTTTAAAAATGTACAACTACAAAGTCATTTAACATAGGCTCAAGGGCTTCCAAGACCCTTAAAGTGCACCTGAAATATTTTATTGCAAAACTCACCTAAGGTTCTAAGTACCTCTCATGAGTATGTCATATAGTTAATCTCATCTGAAAACAGTGCAAGATCACATGCCAACCTGGGGATGTTATTTTTGCCTTGTAAACGTTAGATTTTATTCCAGAGAAGTGGACAGAACAGAAGAAGGTAGGAAGCAGATTGCAAAAAACCTTGAGAGGAGAAATCCACCAAGTTAGCAGTGGGTATTTAAATACCAATGTACGTATTATGGGAACAGGGCTGTTGGGTAAAGGCTTTAGAAATAGAGGTGCAATTTGGTTTTTTCTTGTGGGAATTTTTTGCTTGTTTTGAGTTGATTTTTTCCATAATGAGTATGAGAGAAGAGAACATTCTTGAGAAGAAAACCAGTGCCCTACCCATGATAATAAAGTCATCACCATGTAATTAAAATGACTAACAAGTAATATAAATTAGCCTTGTAACTGAATTGATTATTGGAACATTTTTATGTGTGGCAAAGCAAAATATGGAGTTTAATGGCAATTGTTGCAAAGTGACTTTTATTGATTAAAGTATTAGTATTCATTAGCATCTACTCTTTTTAATGTATATTCATTTTGTTTTTACTGAGGAGCTATCAGAGTGTTTTATAGTTTAATTCTGCAATTATGTCTTGTAGAGCTACATCAAGTCCATAAATAAATGATCAAGAGATAGATTTTGCATCAGGACCAATAAAAACCAGTCAGGAATAGGTTTGATGATTCTGTCTGTAACCCAACAAACAACAAACAAAACCTGTACTCTGAGAAAGTGACTTTGCTGACTTAAAAGAAATTTGGTATAAATTATCTGGCAAGTAAGCATGTGTTTATCACCAACAATTAAGGGAGACAACCAATGCAATAATGAGGATTGCATAAGAACCATTTTTCGATTGTGTAAGCTTTTAAATTGACTCCCAGTATGGAAAAAACAGAACCTTGTATTTTCTAAATATAGGTAGAATGCTTACCAGAAGGTGGAACAAAAAGGGAGGCCTGCCTCAATTTTACATGGCATGAATGGTCTTTTTGTCTTTTTAGTGGACAATGGTAAATGTAATAGTGACGATAGAAAAATCTCATTTTTTAATATTTGAAGCTATTCTTGGTTCAAATAAATTACCTATAACACTATCCAGTAAGTAACATAAATTTAGAAACATATTGACACTAAATTTGTGAAGTATTTAAAATGTAGTGCCCAGCATTAGCACAAGGCTTTTGATTTGGAAAGATTTTTGATTATGATATATATATCAAAATCTCTATTTCTAAGAAGTTATAATCAAATATATCAGGATATATAATTTACTGGGATGGAATATGAACAAATAAGAATGTCAGAAATAAATATTATAAGTTGATTTTTTTTATGTAGACAATGTGTAATTGCCAGTTTTGACAAGCTACAATACTGTTATGCCTACTATCAACCTTTGTATCTCATTATAATGATACTTGGTTTTAGATAGCACAGTATATTTTCCAGGCTGTGATATTTCATAGGAGAGCTTATAATTTGGCCAGAATATGTCAAAATTCTTTGATACAAGTGAATGCCATGTATATCATTGTTATCAAGCTTATCTTTGAGATGTCTTTCTTAATCAAATAAATAACTGGAATTGATTTTATGAGTTGTGTCACATGGCACGGGGGTACAACTGCTAATATCTCTGTGAACTCCTACAAAATTTCCCTTTGGCTTTTCTTAATTTTTTTGCTAGAACCAGATGAACATATACAATATTATGGGTTTTGTGTAAAGACAGTGTAGAGATACCTGATAATAAAATGTTATTTGTGCATTTTATTTGGCAAAGTCAGCTATGAGATCACTCTAGAGATGCAGCCTGAAGCTGCAAATGCCTCTTGTACCACAGGTGCCTCAAAGAGAAGAAAAGAGCACACAGTGTCAGAGGAAGAAATTTGGTCCAGTCACTACAACATGAACAGCCTATTTCCCTTTCTACACTCTGAACTGAGTAAACTATTCAAAAACTAGGAGCAATGTATTAATTATCTGAAATCTTGAATGGTGTCAACAATGTTTAATTTTCAGTAGTGAGTGAGTTTACATAATTTATATTACAAATAGGCATACAGTCTTTGAAGGTAAGATGTACTAGGTATAAGTGATGTAGCACCTGTGTGCTGTTGCCTGACCCTCAGCAGCATAATCCAGTAGACTATCTAGAGGTAGACTACTGGATTAATCCAGTAATTCTTTACATAGCAGTGATCTATGCCATATGGGAGAAAGGCAGTCATTTTTCTTATATACTCTACTTTCAAAATGGCATTTGAGAACAGAAATATCTCTTCCTGAAGAGGAAAAAGTTTAGGTGTCATCCACAAAGCTTGAGTTAATTTTTATAAAAATATGCTCAGAAAAATAGAGAATTCCTCCTTTTCCTTTCTTCTCCTTTCTCTTCTTCTGGAAACAACGTGTCCTTAAATAATGCTTGCGAGAAGGAGACCATTAAGATTAGAGTAGAAAAATGAGGTAAAAAGGCAGTATGAGGTACAGAGCATCTTTTAGCTTTCCAGTTTTCCACAGTCCTCCGCCTTTTCAAGGGGATATTAAATTCCTCCCTCTTCTTCCTGAATATCCCACCTAACCCTGATATTAAGGAAATATGTCAACTGAGGGCAAGCCTTGTGGATTAAAAACCAATTTATTTTCTATTGTTCTGCCTAATGTATTTTAGAATTACAAAATAAATTGAGTTAATGAATAAAAATATAACAAAGGTTAGGATGGCTAAGCGCTGCCCTGCTCTGAAAGAATTTTCAGTTAAGATTTGAGTTGAAATTGACTATATTAGGCACATTTTTTAAAGTTCATAAATAGTTATGTATTATAGCTAATATTATCTCAGTTAAAGAGGATCATATTGGTATGATTAGTACAAAATTTTAATATTCTGCTTCAAGAGTTTTCTTGAAAAATAGCTGTGATCCTCATGATAGATCAAGGAAAAAGAATGAAGGAAGAAGAGTCCTGGTGAATTCACCCACTTCCCTTTGTTGATATCTATCCTCTCCTTATCTTTTGCCATACTACATTAATGAGGCTACAGGGAAGGTTAAAAACCTTCTTGATAATGGAGTACAAAGAAGAAAAAAGCAAGTGAGTAAAAGCCTAGTCAAAGAAGAAATCCCAATGCACATGGAAAAGTCCAATCAAGGGAGAATTCAATCAAGGAAATTTAATCAAGGGAGTTGGCAGATGGGGTAAATGTTCAATGTCCCTGTAGAGAAAGACAACCATACAAGCTAAGGACAGTGGTTACTTCAGCAGACAATGGTCTCCCAGGATGTTTGGTTAAAAAGGCCATTAAATAAAGACATGCATATGAAAGAAGATCCTTCCTAAAATATGTGGACATTATAAATGGAGATTTGAGCATTGAAGATATATTCTTACACATAAGACATGTTATAGAGAATGTCACTATTATAACTATTTAAATACATATTTGTCATAGTTCAAAGAGCTCATGGATTTGATATCAGAGATTTCTATTCCAATACTGACTACGACTTTCAAAAGTTTACCCACTTTCAATAATGACACATGTTTGTGCCCCATCGTCCTCAATTTGAAAAAGAGGAATAGTAACGTGCTTTCTCTCTATATTTCACTACGTTTTTGAGAACATCAAGTGGAACAACATTTATGAATGTACTTTGTAATCTAAAAATTGTTTACTTGCATTTCCTGAAGAGTAATGCAAACTGAGAATGATGAAAGGAAACATTCTGAGGAGAACAGCCCCTAGGAATGGCATGAATACAGATATGGACAAGTGTTACAATAATGCTGGCATAGAAAGCAGAAGTCAGCCTTACATGGCACGAAAATGCATGGTTTCTCCTGATACATTGCATTCATTCCCTCTAAATCCTGTCTTTCACATTTTTTGGCCTCTAATTATAATAAGTTAGAAAATCACTCCATAATTTGTACAGTTTTCAATATTCATGGTCAATATTTCTTTCACTAAAAGTGTACATCTATACATTTTTTACACATATCCGTTCTAGACCACACATTTTAGAATTCTTTCCAGTCAAGGACAAATTGATGGGACTCTAGAAGAGCAAAATGTTAAATTAAAGTTTTCAATGAACACCCTAGAGACTGTTATTTACTTTCTACCCAGAGCAAACAAAAACTGAGGCAAATGCTGAGCCAGTTTTTCCTGACCCAGCTCAGAGTTTTGTTTCCTCAGCCATTAACTAAGTATTATCAATAGTAATATTAGTCACACATCCCTGGGTGTTAATAAATAAAAAATGGTCATAGGCATGACTCATAAACAAAATATTTAAGTAGTATCCAGGAGCAGACATTAACCTAAATGCCCAGAACTACATCATGGAGTGTCAGAGAGAATTAAGTGATTGGTTCATTAACAAAGTTTATATTAACAAAAATTGGATAAGATGTAGAAAATTGCACTGTGCTTTACTGAGTTGGGTTTACACAAAATATGCTTTCTGTAGAGGAAGTCTGTGTAAGAATTTTAGGTAGTGGTGTTCTTTGTATTTTTATTTTTGCTATAAATATTGCCTATACATTACATCAGTGCATCTGAATATATAACCTAAATGATTCCATGAATTATTCAGTTTTTATTTGGATATTGCATATCATGGTGAGAAACTAGTTATCCTTTGGTACTGTGACAGGGTGAGGGGAAGTCAAGGTTAGCCAAAGCAGTAAATGGAGTTTATAAATGAATTTGACCAATTTTGGATTTGAGGATAATTTATGCATATACAACCATCTAAAAATTTTGTGAGGACAGTGTTATATACATAAAATATAGTCAATACCTGTTGCTCATGAATAAATACAGGTAAGAATT